TTTTAACCATTTCAGCTACTCCTGCCTCACTATTAGCTCTCAGCACACAGTGTACACAGGGTTACAGTAGCATAATACTGATAGACTCCTTTTTTAACTTTGCAGCTGGCAATATAATTAGTCTGCAGTGTGAAACGATTGTGATTTTAATTGCAGTTATTTTGTTGTAGGCCACCAAGTTCCCCTGCAAGGTAAACAAGTAAATTAGGTTTCAATTGCATTTCACATGAGGTCACAGTTCAAACTTTTTGAAACTCTGATGATATTCTCATTAATGATGATCTTCTTTAGGTTATTTTACTTTTAATGTAGAGAGACGGGCCTGCTTCTTTTAAGAAATGCATTACCCATGATCAAATTCAGCAATGCAATACTTACTAAGTACTTGACTAATATAGCCTTCATTAATATGCAAGAGGTAAATTCCTTGTCTCTGCATATTGCTGTATAAATTAAGTAGAACGCAGCTCCTACTAGTGGCAGCCGAACAGAGGAATTAAACCATTAGTGATGTATTCACTAAACTGACAGGGGAATGCAAAATATAGGATAAATGAAAGTTAAATGAAAAACCATCGATTTATTATACAACGTTGCTGCTTTTGCCTTAATTGCAGAGTAAAGATGAAAAACGATTTAGTCGACAATAAACATGCAGTCTTTATCGTCTTAATCTGTTGTTTTGAATTAATTAATAAACACACTTCTTATCTGTGGAGCTTAATTACATTCAGCTTGAAGCGTGATCTATAAGCGTATTTGGTCAATGATCATGATAACTGCAAAATGTAGCCAAAAACAGCTAAATCCGTAAACATTCTATAAGTCTGTGCAATATCCTTTAATTCTCCACGATACTTGTTTTTTTTTTTGTGTTACCATGGCAACATAACTTTATAAACAGTTCCTCTAGAAAGGTTTACTAAGTATACCTTTTGTTCGTCACGTATTGAGTAAACTCGGAGAAACTATTTTTAACATTATTATCCTTTCATCAAGTATTGAATTGAAGAAAAAAAAATTTTCCTTTAGTTTCTTCCTCACGAGACTTTTACCAGCGTATTTTTACACAGGCATCTTATCCATCAATCCCTACCCCCATGACATGCTGTTACTGCTCTTATATGCCTCCACCCCTTCCAATAGATTGTAAACTTGTTTTGTTATATTCTGTATATAAATTACTTGTTGTCACATTTTCCCATCTAATAATTGTACAGCGCTGCAGAATATGTTGGCTCTATATAAATAATAACATTAATGATAATAATAATAATAATTGTTTTTTATGAATACTATGCAATAATTACTATAAAAGAATACTACTTACATATTATTACCCCAATACTCTTGCAACAGACTAATAAATGATTGATAAAAAAATCTGTAATGTTTTTCGGAACTTCAAGCTTAACACAAAACTATAGATTTTTTTTTTCACATACATTCTGTGCATTTTTCACTTTTCACATACATTCTGTGCATTTTGAAAGCTTCTGGTGATTGTATCCTGCTAAGACCTTGCTATGTTCTGTAGTGTCTTTGAAAGTAATGTGAATACTTTGAATTTGCTATCCTATTATTTTCTAAGCAAGATGGTCTTTATTTTCAAATATAATAAACAGTAAAATGTAATAGATCCTAAATCTTTGTACACGTTACATTATGTTGAAGTTTGTTAGTGCCCCAGGGCCATATCTATCATCAATCAACCTATGTAAAAATAAATACAATTATTCATTCTACTCGATAGTATACATAATCTAGTCATGTTGATCTTATTTTATTTTCTTCCCTGCCCATTTTATAAATGTGTTACATAAATTTAGCCAGACACTTTATTAAATTGTTATATGTACAGTATGCTTTGACATGAAATGAGTATATGTATATTTAAACAACAATTTATAACAATGACGATGTATTCAGGAATATGTTGCATAAGTAAAATCATTAAATAAAATAATCCGTGTTTATGCTTTGCAAAGAGGAGTATAGAGATTCCAAAAAGCCACAAATTAAAGGTCATTTGGAGGAGTAATTTAACAGCAAGTTGTGAGTTTACAAATGACATGGAAGTCTTTCTGGCGTGAGTGGGTGGCTAAGGAAGGAAGCTCTATTTGGGCAAAAACTGTAAAATCTATCAGATGCATTACATTTGTAGTGGTGCCCGGTGTGCCCTATAAATTCTGAAAACATACCCTTTGTGTATAGTTGTTAAACTGTTTTATTTCCTTTTGTCATTTTTTAAAATTTTTTTTTTTTTAGCTTATTACCGGATGAAATGGCAACAGGAAAGCTTCCTCAAAAATAAAGTAAAACATCTTTCATCAGAAATAGGTAAGCTGTCACTGAACTTGTTTTGGGTATTTAAAAATAAAAATGTATGTTTTTTTTTAAAATTAGGTTTACATTTTTGCATGGGTACGCAGACAACTAAAAGAAAAATAAAATAATTTTATTACTATTACATTCCCTTAATCTTCAATCCTATAAGACGTTTCTTAAAACGTACCTCTTCAGGCAAGCCTATGGCCTCCGTTGGAATAGGTCATTCCTTTAAGGGACACTACAGGCACTATAACTGCTTCATCTCTCTGAAATGAATATAGTGGCTTGAGTGTCCGGGAGCTGTCCGTCCATTCAGCATTAAACCATTTTGAATATTTTAATGCTAAAAGAGAGGGCCCAGCAGCCCAACTCCCCTGTGTTGCTTGGCTAATAAGGAAGTGTTAGCCTGAGTAGCAATAGGTGGCTGTGAGTGTCAGCTGACTGCTTTAAGCCTATAACATCGCACATTGCAGGTATGAATTGATATGGTTAGAAGGAAGTGTGTAATCTCTGCCTTAGCCACACCTACAGTAGGGGCCGGACTGTACTGCTCTTTCCTTTGTGTGTTATTATATTGTATGCTTGTTCTTCTTAACATTTGTAATAGTTTGTCTCATTTCTGTTATATCACCACAATAAAATCGTAAAACACTAGAGAACATGTTGGCCCTTTATAAATGCTTATAAAATAATAATAGTAATATTAACTAGACAAATTTAACTTACAAAAACCAAGAGATGATGAGGATCGTTCTCAAATGAGCTTACACTTTGCAGTTTATTGCTAATGATAACAAGATTTCCTATCATACTTTGGAAAAAAGGAATTGCAAAATACTAGTGTGTTAAAGTATTTAAATGACATTAATTTTGCTGTACTTGTTTTCTTCCTGTGACGTTAGCTTCTTCACTTGAGCAAAGATTATCCATCCTGTTTAATAAAAATGATGAATTAATGAATGAAAATCAAATTCTTCAGCAGAGTTTAACGTCACCGGGTCATCAAGCGTGGACTGACGGAATCTGATCTCGCAGCTCGTGGACTTACTAAATCTGATCCTTGTATGTGGACTTTGATAAGCAACTATCTCGGAAAGATTGCTCTGCTGTTAAACATTGTTTAATTTGGATCCAGTATTCCACATGTCATATCCAATCATCTATTTCCATAAACCAGCTAGTCAGTGTTTATGTGTTAATTGAGTGGTAGAGTTTGTATCTGATTTCAATTTCTACCCATCAAATACATTTAACATTAACACACATATGCATACATTTACATACACACATGCATACAGTACACACACATACACACTTTCTCTCTCTCGCTCTCTCTCTCTAAAGGAAGTTGTAATTTTATACATTTAGAATATGGAATTTCCCTGAATTCTTAACAGGGAAAAACTGGTTTAAAAATCTGTATATCAACACGCACAGAATTTCATGTGACAGTAACCATTTCATTGTGTACAGACGTCGAGAAAAAACAGCTTAAAAATACTCAATGATGCAAATCTGTTGCATGCTTAAAGAGCTAGTGACTAAACAGTGTTTGCTGGCAATCACATCGCAACATGTAGTCTGCAATAAAACTGGGATATTGGGGAAAAAAAGAAAATATATGAAACATTTTTTATTGTTTGGTTAATATACCCCTTAATTTCAAAATTTGTCTTCTGTAAAATGCTGCAAGATCCTTCCTTCTGATTGCTGAAAACACGGAGACCATAGTAATTGACCTTTAAAGTTGATGATTTCCTTCAATGAGGACCCCCCAAAATTCCACTTACATGTCAGTGATATTTATGGTCTCCTGAAAGCATGGGATGCATAATTAGACTGCCAGGTAGAAAAAAATATAGAATCCTGTGTATCCCGTTACAATCTTATTACAATCTTGCCTTTTTAGCACTTTTTACAGAATGTTTAGCACAGTAGCCTGTGTGCTCACAATCTGAAGGAGATGGAACATAACGAGGAGAAAACAACGTTTATTCCTGGGGAATTAAAAGAGAATAAGAAACGGTCTCTTTTTCTGATGTGCGCTAATGAGGATTTAGTGAGAGTGTTAGGATGTACTCAGAGACGATTGCAGACAGATGAAGGATCAGGGTCTGTAGGTTACAGGGAAGCACAGGTATAAAGAAGATACAATGGTGAGGGTAGGTTAGTGGCAGGGCGGGTGCAAAGATTTTTAGCTACACAGGCAAAGTAGCAACAACAAAAAAACCATACAGGGGTAGAGACCACCTTATTTCTGATGGTAAGGGTCTGTAGATGGGGACACAGGGGTTCTGGAATGGGATCAGGGGATGTTGTGGGGCATAGGGTCTGTGGGGGGAACGCAGGGGCTGTAGAGGGGGACACACACAGGAGCTGAAGGGGGGGACATAGGCGCTGTAGACGGGGGACACAGGGGCTGTAGAGTGGGAACACAGGGGTTGTAGAGGGTACACACACAGGGCCTGTAGAGGAGGGCACAGGGGCTGAGAGAGGGCAAGGGCTGTAGAGTGAGAGCATGGGCTGTAGAGTGGAGGGTATGGGCTGTAGAGTGGGGGGTATGAGCTGTGGTGGGGGGACAGGGGCTGTGGTGGAGGACACAGGGGCTATAGAAGGGGTGGGCAGGGGCTGTAATAGGGGCACAGGGGCTAAAGAAGGAGTGGGTAGGGGCTGTGAAAGGGGGACAGAGGTTATAGAAAGGGGAACATGGGCTTGAGAGGGGGTATGGTCTAAGAAAAGAAAACTCCTCCCACCCCTGAGTAAAGGGGTGCCCTTTAAGGAAGAGGTAGGGATAATCACACCTATCTAAAATCAGCCTGCAATATTGGGTTACAGTTTTTTTCTTGCAATGATGTGAGAGGAGGTGCATAGGTAAAGGACTCTGTGGGGGTGTTATACATTTAAAACATTTCTTTATCTTAATTGTAGAAAATAGCATTGGCCAAGATACATGATAACTACTGAGCTAACTACAAAATATAACCCAATAAACAGATGAGAATAATATAGGGTATACCATTGTATCAGTAGCAAACGTTATTTATATTTGGAGTATTTTAATCAATTCTTAACAAACCACAATATATACCCATCATGCTTTCACAACCACGTCCTACAGAAAGTTTAACTATACAAACGTGGCCACAGCTTCGGTGTGCTTTGTGGCCTGAAAATATAGCTCACTTTGAGAATTGTTTAAATTTAGTTATTCTGACCTAAAATCTGTAATTCACTTTGTATTCATTTTGCATTTTTGCCCATTCACAATTTAGTGAAAAATTCTGGAATACTAATTCTTGTTGATATCTGGATCCAAATCAAAAAGCAATTACAAAGAATCAGTATCAATTTTCTAAAAAAGTATTTATCACCCAAAACTTATTTTAATACATTTATTTTGAATATAACATCTAATTTGTTACTCTGTCTGTAGTAAAGATATAACTATAGACATCAGTTCATGATTGTAATAGAGAGAACTTACTCCTCTTTGTTAGAGATAGAATATATTTTACTATTGCATATTTATTTATGTTTTTTTGTTCTTGCATAATGTCTTTTTTTATTATGTTGGTGTTCACAAAATATATAACGTGCATTACTGTGTTACCTTTTTTGTTATTGTCATTGTATTTGGATATGTTTGTTTAATAAAAAGAAAAACATTTCAGTTTAGTTAATAAAAAATAAAGCGATAATCTGCTACATATTTCTTTTTCTTCATTAACTTTAATTCTCCTCTCTGTCACTGGAGTCAGACCTAATACCATTTACCCTATTTAAAGGGACACTATAGTCACCAGAACAACTACAGCTTATTGAATTTGTTCTGGTGAGTAGAATCATTACCTTCAGGCTTTTTGCTGTAAACACTGTCTTTTCAGAGAAAATGCAGTGTTTACATTACAGCCTAGTGATAACTTCACTGGCCACTCCTCAGATGGCTGTTAGAGATCCTTCCTGGGTCATGGCTGCCTAAAATGCATCCAAACATTCAGTGTCTCCTCCCTCTGCATGCAGACACTGAACTTTCCTCATAGAGAATCATTGATTCAATTCATCTCTATGAGGAGATGCTGATTGGCCAGGGCTGTGTTTGAATCATGCTGGCTCTGCCCCTGATCTGTCTCTTTGTCAGTCTCAGCCAATCATATAGGGAAGCACTGTGATTGGATCAGTCTACCACTTCTGATGATGTTAGCAGACAGCTTGTTTTTCTGAGTCAAACAGCATGCAGAGTTACAGCTTCAGGCTTGAATACAGTAAGATTTTGCTATATTTACGGAGGCATGAGGAGCTGAGGGGGAATAGATGTTGGTTTTAACACTATAGGGTCAGGAATACATGTTTGTGCTCCTGACCCTATAGTGATTCTTTAATAATGGTGCAAGAACCATCTGTAAAATATTTTTAAATTGTTTTCTTAAAACTGCAAACATTAAATGTTGAGCATTGTTCACACAACACTTTAGCTTTGAATGAGACAGTTGCCTTACTTTGCAGGCAGAAAAAAAGCAGGTAAATATGAGTTTTCATATTTTCCTGCTACTTCTTTCTTATTGTTTCTATATTCACTCCAGGGGGAACACTGATCTAACCAACTAGTGTCCAATTTCAAGAAATGCAGGCAAGTGAATTGGGTATGCATAGTGCTGTATTTTCTGCAAGGTTAACAAGGCATTTGCCTTGTGCGGCACTTTCTAGGGGGTGACAAAAATCGCCACCTCCAAGTGCCCTGGCAGATGCCTTGTTAGCTTCAGATGCCTTGTTAGCCTGGCCACCATAGGGACCTGATGTGGGCGGCGAGGGAGCACTCATCTCTGTGCTCTTCTTGCTCTGCTTCCTTGAGAGCCCTGCTGTGATGCCAAGAGCCGGAATATGTCATCACTCTGGCCCCAGCATCACTTAACGGTGAGCGAGGGAGCAGAGAACGAAGAGCACAGCTCCATTTCGCCAGTTCGCTGGCAGTGAAAGGATCCCCTGTGGACCCCAGGGAAAGAAAGAATCCACTCCAGCCCTTCGAAAAGTAGGGAGGCTTGGTGCACTGGAATTTAAAATAAAAAAATAATATATGAGTGTATGATAAAATGTGTGTGAATGTGTCAATATCAGTATGTTTGTGTCTGTTAGTGAATCTGTGTGTGCCTCCCAGTGAGTGTGTGTGTGTGTCTATCAATGGTTGTGTTGGTGTGTGCCTGTCAGTGAGTGTGTGTACATGTGTCAGAGGGGTAGGGTTAGATTTCTGTCATCATCCACGTAATTTTCCCTCTCTTTCTTGTTTTGCCACTTTTCAGAAATCCGAAGCACTTCAGCACTTCCAAAAATCGGCACTTTGGCAATTCGGTAATTCGGCAGTTTGGCAATTCTGTTCGGCACTTCCGAAATTCGGAAATTCGGCAATTGGGACATTCAGAAGCATTCGAATCTCTGAATTGTCAAAATTCGTCTGAATTTACATTCGGAACGAAACAAATTGCACATATCTATAAAATACACATATTTGTATACAGCGATGACTCACGAATACAACCTTACCCTCCATGTACAGGTTCTATGGGGTTTTGGAATGTTTATACACATTGAAATTTGCCAGATTAATAATAGTGTCATCGAGACCATATAGCAGCCTAGGAATGAAAATGACCCCCATCATAGCATACCATCTGAAAAAGTAGAAATATGGGGTATGTCCAGTGTTTTATAGTAGCCAATTAGTCACAAATATTGCCCAAAACTAGAATTCATATTTTTTTTTGCATCTTTTCCACCAATAAAATGCACTTTTACCAATGATATCATCAGCATTATATGTTTTACTCCTCTAAAACACTCATATTTAAATTATTTTTTCCCCTTTTTCCACCATTAGGGAGATTGCCTGGCAGCCCAAGCAGTCCCCCGGCAGGCAGGTTCACAGACAACTATTGTGGCCATGTGATTCCTCTTTGAGAGCGATCACATGGCCCATGGGGGCCTGATTTGCCGTGGGAGGGCTGCATGGGTAAGTATCCCGGCGGCTCCAGGGCTCAAAGCTGTTACGGTATTCAATGCTGCTGCAATGGCTTTAACCCCATTATATGCGGGACGGCATAGAATGCCATAGTGGCGTTATGGGGTTAAAAGTGTATGCTTGTTGGTATAAAAAATTTTTTTGTCAAGTGATGCATGGCCCTTGATATTGCCTTATAAAAAGCCAAGTATCTTACAGTGCAATTAATTATTTAATTATGGTGCCACATTAATTGTCATTGTTAGGGGTACTGTTAGGGGGTATTAGAGATACTTCAGGTTAGGGTAGACCTACAGGGTTATTCCTTCAAGTGAGAATGAAAAGTGAATTAGAATTTTGAGGTCAAAATAATGAGGATGGAAAAATCTGTCAGCTATGCTTCTAGTACAGCTACTCTGGGTTTAACTTTGAAATTCACTTTTAATTCTCACTTTAGTAATGCTATATGGGGTATACTGCTGTGTCCTGTGTCATTACATTGCTGCTATAACGATGCTCCTTATAATAATTGACATTATGATGACAGTCACCATTCAAAACTTAAATTTTCATATGAATCAGGATTTTAAATAGGCATATAGATGGCATTGAAATAGACTTATAGACTTATAGACTTATAGACTTATAGACCTGCTGAGCAGAGCATGCAGGTGTTAATTTGTGATGTCATATCCTTTCATCCTTAGCCTCTAGTAATACTGAAGGGGAGCTTGAGTGAATTCTGTTCCTTCAAAGTCGGACCATGGTGAAAAGCAGCCAGAGCTTCCTAATCCTTCCTTTCCTCCTTGGGAAGCAGATAAGCAGGAGTAGTGTATGAGTGTCGCTATGTTTCTATGTATGCATGTTAATGTGTCTGTCAGTGGGTGCTAGTTTGAGCTTGAATATGCGTATTATAGTGACTGTGTCTGTGTATGTGTATTGGTGGGCCTGTGTATTGTATGAGTGTATTTGTGTATGCAATTTAATGTGTTTCTATAATTTTGTGTTAATGTGTGTCTGTGTATGTATGTTAATCTAGGCCTATGATTTAGGCTGCATATGCATGTTGTATTTGTGAGTATGTTGCTAGTTAGGTTGGAGTATGTAGCAAGTTAAGGATGTGTAGAGAAGGATTAAGATCCGAGGTAGCACTAGGTAGGTTGGTGAATGGGGCTTTGTAAATTAATGGCCCTAGACACCAGCTTAATGTTGGTTGATGGTTAATCCTGCTCTATGCAGGCGTGTCTAGTAGCCTTAGATCATCTTATAATTAATTCAGTTTTACAGAAACCAAAAATATTCCAAGCTATGTCTCACAATATTTTCCTGCCAAATGCAATTATGAATTTTCTTGCTAAGTTTTACACCAAAATGTTTCTTGAACAAAATGTTGATATATATTTTCACAATTGAATTGAAAATGAATGGCTATATAAAGTGATGACTGAATGTTTCGGGTAGAAAACATGAGGAACCTCTTACTGTAGTCTATGTTTTTCGTTTATATCTAGATGTTTTGTTTATATCGTAAAATTGCAAATAACGCTCTTCTAGTGTCTCCTGAAGACCACACGCATTTCAAAGGCTTTGAGGGAATCCCATTGGGATCGAGCATTCTGTGTTTTTTTCTTTTCTTTTGTCTTAACCAGCTGTGTGAGCTTTTTATGTTTAAACTGGAAAAGGTCATTCAGTAAATGAAAATCAGAAAATAACATTATGCAAGTTGAAGCATGCAGCGGGACTTTCAAATTACTTCATTTATCAACCACGCAACATTCTGCGTGTGAAGATGAATGCAACAAGAATTTACAATGTATCAAAAAAAAGAAACCCTATCTTTGTTGATGTTGATTGTCAACTTGCCTGAATGTGATATATGCTATGCAGTAAAATATTGCCTATTTATGACTGCTTGACAAGATGAATTAATGAAGGTTTAGAAAACATTTGGTGTGACTAAGATGATCTTTAGGTAGATGACCTATATTTGCACTTTTATATTTTTCGTGTAGTGCATGTGTGGTATTTAAAAAAAAAAAAAAAAAGCGATTTAAAGGTCAGAGCCAGAAGAGCTACATACAAGATCATTTCACACTACTCAATCTGCCCCATAAAAATGCTGCTGTGTTTGTCATGCAATCATTTTACTGTACTAACAGCTATTTTTATTTGATCAATAGTTTTGAGCTTAGTCACACAGGGGTTTTAGAAACATTTTTTTTCCTAAACCTTCCTTAACCCCTTAAAGGACCACTCTAGGCACCCAGACCACTTCAGCTTAATGAAGTGGTCTGGGTGCCAGGTCCAGCTAGGGTTAACCTATTTTTTCATAAACATAGCAGTTTCAGAGAAACTGCTATGTTTATGAATGGGTTAAGCCTTCCCCTATTTCCTCTAGCGGCTGTCTCATTGATTTTCACAGTGAGAGCACGCCAGCGTCCATAGGAAAGCATTATGAATGCTTTCCTATGTGACCGGCTGAATGCGCGCGCAGCTCTTGCCGCGCGTGCGCATTTAGCCGACGGGGAGGAGAGAAGGAGGATCGGAGGAGGAGAGCTCCCCGCCCAGCGCTGGAAAAAGGTAAGTTTTAACCCCTTTCCCCTTTCCAGGGCCAGGCGGGAGGGGCACCCTCAGGGCACTATAGTGCCAGGAAAATGAGTATGTTTTCCTGGCACTATAGTGGTCCT